CCGTTTCCTGTTTTAACACAACTAAAACAGGATATGAAACAGTATATTGCATAATGATAATAGCACAATAAGCAGTATTTCCCAACAGACTAGTTCTCAAGGGTAACATGAATAACTGGAGCAACGATTTTGAAAACGGTTTTGAATAATCTGTTCGTAGACCAGTTTGTCACAGCACGTTTTTGATCTCATAGTGCATAGTCAAGGAGATATTGAAAGGCTTGGTGAGCATGTCGGACATGAAATCATAATTCAAGTCAACATATATCTTATTCTAGATGTTAGTTAGTGCGGGGCTCAAACTCCACAAGTGACTATAACGCCTTTTTATTCCCTCATTCTACAGTTCAAAACCAAATACGGAAAAAGAACAGTCCATGTGACTGTTACAGTAAATGACACCGTCTTCAACTCGACCAATGGCACCCAGGAAGTCATGGAGATCACCCGGGAGGACGTGATCCCAGTGCCGGGTCAAGTGAACGGGGTCAATGCTCTCGGGCTGGTGGTCTTCTCCATGTGCTTTGGTCTGATAATTGGCAGCATGAAGGAGCAGGGCCAGATCCTGAGGGATTTCTTCGACAGCCTCAATGAAGCTATCATGCGCCTGGTTGCCATCATCATGTGGTGAGATCTTTGCTTTCAGGGGAAGAGATGTTGAACAAATATTGATGTCTCACTTGTTCTCAATAACTCGCTGTTGTTCTCCTCCTCTCAGGTACGCTCCTATCGGTATCCTGTTCCTGATTGCAGGAAAGATTGTAGAGATGGACGATCTAACACAGATGGGCGGCCAGCTGGGCATGTATACCATCACGGTGATCATCGGCTTACTCATACACGGAGTCCTTGTTCTTCCCACTCTCTATTTTGTTATCACTCGGCAAAACCCCTTCATATTCATCGCTGGTCTCCTGCAAGCCTTGGTAACAGCCTTGGGCACCTCCTCCAGGTGAGTCGTCTCCGACACTACCACGCTTCAATAGATGAATCCCAACTATTCCATAAACACAAAACCTGCTGTATCTGCTAAAAGGTTCTGTCCTATCGTCAAAACCTGTTGCAGTTAGAATTGTGAGGGCTCTGCGTCTGTAACACAGCTCTTTGTTTTCATTGACACACAATAACGTCACTTTCCAGTGACAGACAAGACACATGATGCTACATATGATACGTGAACAAATGTGGTCAGTGTGTGCGTGTCAGTGTGGTAGCGTAAGAGGCTGGAGCAACATGACCTCATCCGTACTGCTCATATTTTGCATATTTAGCAGCGTTTTGCATAGAATCATGATGGTCAATGTTGTAACTGGTGCTCAATGTTCAAATAACCAAACTACTTGATTAGGATTAGAAAAAGTGTGACGTCACTCAGTCGTGTCTTACAGTCAAGTTGTCTTCTGTTACTTTGCCCTTCGTACTTTAATGAATGCCGTGGTCATTATACGTGATAAGAGATATATAACTAAGCCAGAGTTGCAGCTGACAGAATAACACATTTATTTGACAGAATATGCAACTGTAATTAGTCAGATCCAGCACACTCTAGCAGTAAAATAATAATAAATCGGTTAATTCACACATTTACACAATTGGCACTATTTTGATAGTTTCTTTTTTTTGCATGTGTCTGTTTAAAGTGTGTTGCGTTTAGTCTAGATGGTGACTTTAACTTGCCCTTGATAACCAGCTGTGTAGGACCATTCAGCAGGACTTACTTATGGAGAACATGTTTATTTTGGTTCATTGGCTAGCCTGGAATTTTATTAGGAACCTTCCTTCTTACAAAAGTACAAAGTACACTGCTGTTGCCCCTCACAAAACTATACAGATCTAAACTCAGCATTGAGCATGAATTAAGAGGCCGTATCAAGTCTGCAACCATGTTTTTAAGTAGAATCATAAGCAGGCTCTTTGCAGCCACCAATACACACATCTGCACTATTTTTTGTTTTGCACAGGTTGCACATTCAGTGCAAAACAGGTTAATTCTAGTCACAATAAACTATTCTTATTTTTTTGCACAGATAGAACTTTATTTGCATTGTTCTAACGAGATGGTTGAACATTTGATTTGTTTTTGTCTGATGGTGCAATCTGCTTTACTTGAAAATGATGCATTCAATTACTTGAAAAAGCATAGATGGAGGACTCACAAAATAAAATTTCAATAAAATTTCAACATCTACAATGTAGCTGGGGCATGAACATGTTTTTCCTTCCAAAGTGACACAAAAGGTCGCAATGGTTTTACTATAGAGTTAATACATTTGTTGTTAAATATTTTTGGAAAATGCCCTGTTTCATCCTAATTTACAGTACGCTTCAAGCTAAAGTCCATTTAAATTACTGAAAAATAGTGAATCCAGCAAAACGTAAGCTGAATGCATCAGTCAAACTAAGTCAACCAGGATATTTCCAAACACGTGAGACCGTTTCTTTGAACTATTTTCGGATCTTTCCTCGCTCAGCTCAGCCACCCTCCCCGTCACCTTTAAATGTCTGGAGGAGAACAACAAGATTGACAAGCGAATCACGCGTTTCGTGCTGCCTGTGGGGGCCACCATCAACATGGATGGAACCGCTCTGTATGAGGCGCTGGCAGCCCTCTTCATTGCCCAGGTGAACAACATGGAAATGAATTTTGGGCAGATCATCACCATCAGGTAAAACAATGAGGAGGATCGTAGACAACGCTAATGCTAATGCTGTTATCAATGAGAAGAACCAAAATGTCTGCGTGTGCTTCTCTTCAATCCAGCATTACAGCAACTGCCGCCAGTATCGGAGCTGCCGGCATCCCTCAGGCAGGCCTGGTCACCATGGTGATTGTACTGACCTCTGTTGGACTTCCTACTGATGACATCACTCTCATCATTGCGGTTGATTGGTTTCTGTGAGTGGCTTCATGGATCAGGAACTTGTGAACAGTAATGCATTTTGAGCGCGTGACACGTCGCTCTGTGAAGTTACTTTGACTTACACATAAATCATCTGAAAGGTCAGAAGCAGATCTGTGTCTACTACCACCCAGTGACACACTTCTCTCTCCCCCCCGAGTCTCGTTCTACATCTTCCCTTTTGTATTGAACATTTTTGCAATGAGTTTTAACATAGAAACATAATTAGGTTTCCCAAATTAATCATTTCAATTAGAATACCCATCCGTGAAATGACTAGGCTAACTGGGGTAATTACCCGTCCCTCCTTTTGATGGGTTGGACAAAATATGACTACTACCAGTGTCCAGGCGTTCCCTCATGAAGACCCAGAATTGTAATTTAGTATTTACCGAAGAGCAGCATGCATGTTATGGTGGACGAGGACACATCCATGTTGATGTGGACAAATAGCTCCCGTAGCTGTGACTACATGATGGGCAGGTGTCACTGTGTACGGTGGCTCCTCCCATCAGAGTATGAATGGGTGAGAATCGTGGTATGAAGACTGGAAAAGAGAGAAACAAACGTCTAGCATCTGTTGACTCTGTTCCTGGCTGGTGTGCAGGGACCGACTTCGTACCACGACCAACGTCTTGGGGGATTCCATCGGCGCCGGCATCGTGGAGTTCCTGTCCCGACACGAGCTGCGCAGCAAAGACGTAGAGATGGGCAACTCGGTGCTGGAGGAGAGGGAGAGGAAGAAACCCTACAAGCTCATCTCCCAGGATAGTGATTTTGAAAATGACAAACGTGCCCACAGTGAATCCAACATGTAACTGAACATCATCGCCGTGTACAAGCACGTACAGTTAGTTCACACCTTTTTGATTTGTTAACATTCCTTTATCTCTTCTATCCAAAATGACAACGCTGAAGTTCTTTGGTGTCGTTTGGTCCAATAGGACTGGTAGTTTCTATTTTGTATGTTGGCTACGTGAATGAATATTTTAACCTAATATTGCCCTCGTGTAGAGTTTGAGCTGGAAGTATGTTTAGAGAAGTGCTGGATGAAGCTAAGACACGGGAGTGAAAGATGTTTCTGGAGCACATAGTGATACATTATGTTAAGACATTATATATTTGGACACTGACATTTTTTGACCAGGACATATCTAAAGTCAAATTAAAATGTGTCTATATTGTCCTAACATTAGATGGTTGACATTGTGGTTATTACAGGTTCTTACAAGCGTTTTATGAATCTTGTTTTGGTACAGATCAGGTTCACAGATTCGTTCCTTACAGTGTGCGACTTACAGATTTGACAAAAGTGACTCTGTTGGGTCATTAATAGATGTTAAAGCCTTTGATTTCAATAATAATGTGTGAAATGAATTTAACTACTGAACATGAAAACAGTTTTTGTTTATAATAACTTCAATCAAATAAACAGAAAAATCCTTTCCTGCCTCTTTTATTCATAATGAATATACCTTTCGATTGATTCAATAATAAAGATATTTCTTGTAAATCTCAGCTTAAACATTAACGTCATCAAATTAAAAATAAAACCAAAGCTATTTGCCACTGCTAGGGCATTAACATGAATCCAAGTTGTTATAGAAAAACAAGTTACCCTCCACGATCATAACATTATGATATAATTACTATTATAATTATAAATGTAAAATTACGGGTACCAGCATAAACATGTTCCTTTAATTAGGGAGCACAATAAACAATATATCTATCGATCAATAATCCATGTTCAGTAGCACGTGTCCCTTAGTAAGTAAAGCTGAGAGAGATTATGAAGCAGAGTATTTAGAACATTTGATAATTGAAAAGAAGAAACTGTAAACAACAGTAGTTTAGAAAGTAGTGTGGTCATCAACAAGCCGAGGACTTGTCGAAATATCTCTCATGTCAAAAGCTATATATATATATATATATATATATATATATATATATATATATATATATATATATATTGTAAAGTGATATTCGGTGTAAATGAGTCTCTTTGGCCCTGGTGAAGGAGGAACCGGGAGAGGGCGACAGGGCCACGGGTCCTCTATTACCGCGGGTAGAACCCACGAAGAAGAACGGGCCTCTGCCGCTGGATAAAAAGGCTCGGCTGGCCGCCTCTGCACGCGCACTCGTCTCGAGTCTCGCGCCACATAGTTGGGGTGTAACGCACGCGCAGCGTGCCCTCCGGAACCATGTCCTCCCCTGCGCGTACTGACCTGGGCCGGGCGCTGTGTATCATCACCGGGGCCTCCAGAGGCTTTGGTCGGACCGTAGCGAGAGAGATGTCTCGGTTGTTAAAGCCGGGCTCCGCTCTCGTCCTGACGGCCCGTTCCGTCGATGAGCTGCGGGCTCTGCAGGCCGAGCTGGCCGAGTCCGAGGCAGGCCGAGCGGGGCTGCTGGTCGAGTGTGTGGTAGCAGATCTGAGTGAGGCGGACGGACTGGAGAGCATCGTTAAAGCGTCCAAAGTGGCCTTCTCCGAGGACATGGACCATGTGCTGCTGGTCAACAACGCCGGTAAGGAGGTTTTGGTCTTGAACCTTGAAAAATATAACAATGTATTTAAAGATAAAAAGAAGTGGACAGAAAGTATTGTCTGGTTGAATATAGTTTTGACTCATATAAAATATATTTTTTCAATCTTCACTTCACTATTTTTTGATATTCACCGTGTTATATGTTTTTCGTGCAGATTTTCAGATTCAAATATTATATTTTCAAGTTTCCGATTTTTCATTTTATTCACCTGTTTTTCCACTTTCAGACTTTTGACCCTGATGTGACGTAGGGGGCGGGGCATCAACTGAGCGCGCCGTGTAACCATGAGTGACAGCTTAACAAATGAGGCAGAGACAGATTCGGACATCCCGGTTCAACAGCTCGTCAGCGACGCGTTGTTAAAACACAAACGACTCCTCTCTGTAACCGCAGTGATGTAGACAACCAGCTACAACCACAGTGAACCATCATCTTAGGAATACGGACTGCGAGCTGGACGAAATTATATTGATCTGTGCAGATCTGCCCTGTGAGACGATGCGCACGCGCCGTCTGCAGCGCGACATCACCATGGTTACAGAGAGGCGTTGTTTGTGTTTCAACAACGTTTCGCTGACCAGCTATTAAACCGCATCTGTGAATATATTTCCAAGTTGCTCCATTGTCGAAGTGCCCCTGAGCAAGACACCCAACCCCTAATTGCTCCCTGGGCAAAAATGAAAAGCCATGGGTTAAAAGCGATAAAAGCGTCAGCTAAATTACTTGTAATGTAACGTAACGCCGTTGAGCACGCTGTCACTTACGATTACACGCCCCTCTCAGTTGATGCCCCGCCTACTACGCGAAAAGATCCGAAAGTGAAGATTGAAAAAAAAAAAAGAATTGATTTCATTCATTTTCGTCTACACATTTTGTATTTTGAATATATTGTTGTATTTTTCATGCTCAAGACCAAAACTTTTGTTTTTCAAATTATCCAAACTTTTGTCCTGGATTTGGCTCCATAGAAAGTACAAAGTGTATATATATCATTCAAAGATTTTTATTGTCAAATACCCCCCCCCCCCCCCCTGTGTATTGAAATTATTATGCTTGCCTTTTCTGGAAGGCCGACCAATCAAAAGTTAAAATAAAAATACAATATTTACATAAATGTACATGAAATTAAAATAAGACAGAAATGAGGTAAGGGGAAATGTGCAAAACATTGTATACCGAGCTGCTGTTGTATGATTTATTTCAAAAGATAACAAGTCAGTAATGTATATCTTGGTATTTATTTGTTAATTTGAGTACCTTGTTGTATACGATGCTTTGTACCACTATCATGAGAGGAGAAGTCAGACCGCTGCATCCCTACATTGGAGGCCCCAGCAGCATTTGAGTGGAACCCTTTTTTACTTTAGTGATGTTTATCGCGATCTGTTAAGAACACTCACGCGGTCAGTGACGTGCGGTGATGTCAGCAAGCGGGGAGGCACTGAGTTATGGAAGCCAGATTACCTGATCTGTTGTTTAGGCTAACGTGTCAAATCAAATAAACGTTACGCACAAGCGCCACACACACACACACACACACAAACACACACGGGTCATATCATGAAATTTCCAATCATTATGTTTTAATTTTGCGTGTCACTGCACACGGTATATTTTTAAGATGGGACACATCTGGTAAACCCTCCTTTCCTCTCCCCAGCGTCGCTGGGGGACGTGTCTCGCTATGCCAAAAGCTTCACCGACATGGCGGAGGTGGACTCTTACTTGTCTGTAAACGTCAGCTCCTCCCTGTGCCTCACTGCCAGCGTCCTGCAGGCCTTCCCACAGCGTCCAGGTCAGCTGCGCACCGTGGTCAACATCTCCTCGTTGTGCGCTCTGCAGCCTTTCCGCTCCTGGGTGCTGTACTGCACCGGTAAGGCCGCCCGAGATATGATGTTCAGGGTGCTGGCCGAAGAGGAGCCGGACGTCCGGGTGCTCAACTACGCCCCAGGTGAGGGACTACCTGTTAGTGCCGGTGACGTTCTGCTCCAACTGGTCAGCCTGAGGCTGGAGCTGGTCTCCAATTCCATCAGCTGACTTTCAGTCACAGAATAACGGGGGGACGTTTAAACCATTTTCAAGCCTTGACCCACACTCGTCTGTGTCCTCTGTCTCGAACCAGGGCCTCTGGACACAGCCATGCAGACTGTGGCCAGATCCAGAACGGCCGATCCCGACGTCAGGAAGTCCTTTTCAGACATGTTCGCTCAGGGCCAGCTGCTCACCTGTGAGGCGTCTTGTAGCAAGCTGATGAAGCTCCTCCTGGAAGACGGCTACACAACGGGAGCTCACATCGACGTCTATGACGTGTAGACACAGCGCGACTGCCTACACATTATGTCCTTGATTTAGATGCAAATTATTTCTGATTTATCTTCCATTTCCCTCCCGCACTACAGTTTGAAGTGGGTAGATATAGACTCTGTATGAACGGTCAGTCCTCTGTAGGTTGTAGCCTTCTATATTGAAATGGACCAATATGAAAGCCTGTATATCCAAATGATGTTCAACAAGTGGGTGTACAAAACATTCCAGAGCTCCAGTTAGTTCCCTGCACAGCCAGGAGAGTAGAAGTGTGTGACAACTGACCTTTGTCCCCACGTTGGTGTGTGTGTTAGATGATTGGCGGGTGTGCTGGAAGCTAGAGGGGAGGGCCGGCAGTGAGGCCTAGTGTTTGGGCAGGGGATGATGTCAGCAGTGACATCATCAGGTTGGACCAGGTATACGGGGGAGGGTGTCATAATGGGTGTCACCTGTGCACATGGTGCAACCTGGGGCGGGTTGATTGACGGCGCTATAAAGGCTGAGGACAAAATGACTGCTGGGGGGAAAATGGTGGAATCTCCGTGTAGCTGAGCCGTGTTAGACGGGGTTATGTGGAGTTGATTCAGTTAATGATTTAGGTTTTGTTTGGTTGTTTAATGAGACGTGTATCAGGAACCTTCCTTTTTTTTACAAATAAAGAAAGCTTCTTTTTTACCTGGACCAGGTCTCACTTGCCTGCCTCCTAATTCCAGGATTCCTCGGGCGTGCTCTCCTCACAAAGTGGAAGGTAACGCCTCAGTAGAACATCTGCAGAGTAAAGGACACCATTTGTAAACGTTCAAGGGAAGAGTCATCTCCAGCTCACACGGCGTGCAGTCCTTGGACATCACGTTCATTGATTTTTATATTTAAAGCAGTGTAAATGATAAACATACAATAAATCAAATCTGAAAATCACCAATAAAGAGTTTTCAAGTTAATTACTGATTGTCACCACAATACAAATGCTTCTTAAAACAGAAAAAACCCTCAAGATCAACCATATACGTAACCAACAATCCCTGTGACACACTTATAAACCAACTATCTAAACAATCAAATAAGAGTGATTGAACAAAGGAGGGAGAATGGGGACAACGGTGGGGGACAAGTGTGACACTAAGCGTAGTACCGACTATGACACTGGGGCCGAGAGGGAGTAGGACGACCGACTCAACTACAAAGGGGGAAATAATATGCCGTTGCTATGGCAACGCTATCAGCCACTGCAATCTCGGGAAGAGGAGGGTACTTTGAAGTAAACGGCACAAGCAAGAGGATTCTTCACAACATTGTTTCTACGGAAGCCCAGAACAGTGTCGCCTGAGGGAACGGGGAGTATTCAGCTGGTATATCTAGAGCAAGATCAAACCAACACCAAGAACCCTCTGTTCACACTGGTCCTCAGTGAGCCAGCTAGAACATCAGCTGATTCAACGTGATCAGCTGCTGTGGATTCTGGTATTTAAAACTCTTATTTCTCAATGTCGGCATCGAAATGATATTTAAGGACCTTGGTGCCCGGTCGGCTGTGAGATTGATCTATAGGCTACAGCCAAAGGCTGAAGCTCCACTAGACGTAATATCAGTATGTAGGATGATATTACGTCTGCTGCACTACATCTGCTCACAAAAGAGGAAGAGGACACAAATAAGAAACCCATGTCTGTGATGTCCGGTGACGGTGTCCCATCAATTGACGTTGTCTTTTCCACTATTCATTATATATTTATTTATTTATAGCCGCTTTCCTTCAGCCGTAATCTATTTTGCAACCTGAAGTCTGTTTGTTAAATAAAAGCAATACGTTTTTATTTCTTGTCTTCATTTTCATTTTTTGCAAATTCCAATTGAAGCCTTTAATAATCAGCAATCATCAGGGATGAGGAACATTTATTACCAAAATATGTTCGACATACATGAAATTTGACTTTGTGAATTTGAATGTTTAAGGCTTGTTGGGGTCCTGGAGGAGTCAGGATGGGACCGCCTCCTCGGTACATTGCAAAGGGCTGCGTCTGAATTTCTCCTGTCATGAGGCTCTGACTGACACCCACAGCCGCCCGAACCAAAATACCACCAGAGGAACCAACCCAAAGAAGGGGGCACCCCTAGACTACCTCCTCTACCCCCGGCCCCTCATTTCCACTGCCCTCCCCCCTCCCCACTCATGGAGTTGGTTCAACCTCGAGAAGGGGGCACATTTATTTTGGGCCGTAGCAGGGTTAGTATAGAGGGGGGGGGAGTACTCTCCACTCGCTGCAGCGTGTTCAGTCCCTCATCCCTCTGCGGGCGTCCGCCTCCTCTGGGTCTGGTTTCACCAGCACAATGACTGTGGGCAACATGGAGAGTGCTCAACTGTTTGACGCTGGCAACAAAGGTCGAGGCCTGAGGGCCACCAAAGAGCTCCGCGCTGGGGAAGTGGTCTTCGCCGAGCCCAGTTTCTCTGCTGTGGTCTTCGACAGGTACGAGGCTTCTGTTGTTGTGGTCTCACACTAGATGGACAGGTAGGGCTGGCTTTGTCCTACTCAGCATGTCTGCACATCTTAATCACGCACTGTGTGTTGTGGAGGGAGGTCAGGCTTCTCCAAGGGGTGACCTCATTTCTAAAGGCCGAATCCTCATGACACCTGCAGTGAGAGAGCAGCCACAGGGTCATGTGATCTTCATTTACTTCACTCTCCCACAAAATGATTGTGACAATTTGCAAACTTTGAAAGTAATTTTCAAAATTGGTTTGGTACTAAAACATTAGTAATAAATATTCCATGGAGGTCGTGTGGGGGAATAGACGATATTTTTTCCCTCTACATGCAGTAGATCCTGTATCAGTTTTCAGTGTTTTAAAATAAATTTAAAGTCAGAGTTAATCTTTAACATATGCATGTATTTGTTTAGCACTATAGTCAATCTGCAGTGTTATGGTGAGACTTTTAGTTGTGTTGAAAACCCATGTTGTTGTAACTAACATGTCATAAATGTTAACTGGATGATGGAAATGGTAACAACGATTGAAGATGGAAAAAAATTAAAATCAGACAGTATTTTTCTCATCTATTCATGAAATATAAAATGTCACCCAAGCAATTTTGACAAATAAACATGAAACATAATTTAGAATTACCTAACACACTCTCACCTCAACCACTGAGCAGGTGACGTCAGATTTCTTTTTTAGCGTAAGTTAACTTAGTTGGCTTTGTAGCCCAGGCTCTAATGTTTCTCCTGGTGTGCGTCTTTTCCATTCAATTAATTTTATTTTGTAGAGCCCAAAATCGCAAATTACAAATTGCCTCAGAGGGCTTTACAGTCTGTAGAACATACGACATCCTCTGTCCCGAAACCCTCCATCGGCACAGGAACAACTCCCCAAAGAATGAAAAAACCCTTCCAAGAGGGAAAAAAGGGAAGAAACCTTAGTGAGAACGTCAGAGGAGGATCCGTCTCCTGATGGACGACTACAATGACGTCATGTGTACAGAATGAACAATGTATAATACATGAGACTATATGACAGAAATGATTCAAGTAACTGTGAGTAGTAAACCAGACGCACAGCAGGACCACTGCAGGGACCACCACCATCACATAGAACCACCATCAGATAGAACCACCATCACATAGAACCACCATCACATACAACCCCCATCCGATAGAACCACCATCCCATAGAACCCCCATCAGATAGAACCACCATCACATAGAACCCCCATCAGATAGAACCACCATCACATAGAACCACCATCACATAGAACCCCCATCCGATAGAACCACCATCACATACAACCACCATCAGATAGAACCCCCATCCGATAGAACCACCATCACATAGAACCCCCATCCGATAGAACCACCATCACATACAACCACCATCAGATAGAACCCCCATCCGATAGAACCACCATCACATAGAACCCCCATCCGATAGAACCACCATCACATACAACCACCATCAGATAGAACCCCCATCCGATAGAACCACCATCACATACAACCACCATCACATAGAACCACCATCACATAGAACCCCCATCAGATAGAACCCCCATCAGATTAAACCACCATCACATAGAACCACCATCACATACAACCACCATCACATAGAACCACCATCACATAGAACCCCCATCCGATAGAACCACCATCCCATAGAACCCCCATCAGATAGAACCACCATCAGATAGAACCACCATCCACAGAAGCCTGTGGGGAGGGAGAGCACAGAGACTTCAGGAGAGGGTAATGTTGGTTTATGAGTAAAGTAATATGATTAATATCTAAAATAATAATGATGATGGCAGCAGCAGGCGTCAGCAGGGCCACGGTGGGTGTCAGGACCAGGGTCCCGAAGGAACTACGATCTACGGAGACCTGATAGGGGAGATGTGGTGGAAATTTGTGGATTTAGCCCATGTGAGAAATCAAAAGTATCTTGAGCTTGCTTTGTGATTAAGTATTTATTACTAACTAGAATATAGAAAAAAGATAAAGAATACAGAAATCATCAGCACAAGTCGTAAGCACAGACAGAAGTCAAATGACTACAATTCAGCTGAAAAGGGACAGATGTTCCTTCCCCCAAAAGGAGCAGGATGATCTGACCAAGTTAAAGAGGAGAACAGGAGCTTATGTACACTTCAGGGAGGTTTGTGCTGCCTCAGCACAGGAGAGCCCACCCCTCAAGAGGAGTGTTGGAAAAGTACCAGATGATGTAGGGGTGACCCTGTGACCCTCCCTTTATGGACCCAGACAATCAACAACATCTAAAAGGTCAGTCAGGGCACGTATGATTACATCTGTGTCTTATCTCACCCTGGACTGCCTTTAGTCACCGGCTCACATCAAAGGTCACATTCCTGAGAGCCTCACCCCACGCAGGCTCAACAATTTTACCCCAACAGGAGAAAGCACAAAAAACTCCCGGAAAGAAGCTGAATTAGTCATGTGCATTAATAAAACGTGAATTATGGCAGAACGAGAGCGTGAGAGAGGAGCTCGGTGTGTCCTAAGAAGTCCCCGGGCAGTCTAAGCCTATAGCAGCTTAACTAAGGGCTGGTCCGTCTAACCTGAGCCAGCCCTAACTATAGGCACAATCAAAGAGGAAAGTTTACAACTTTAAAAGAGCTGACCGAATCTGCCCCCCAGACTGAAAGTGGAACCTGGTCCACAAAAGAGGAGCTTGATAACTAAAGGCTCTGACTCCCATCCTACTTTTAAAAACCATAGGAACAACAAGTAGCCATTTCGACATTAGATTTCTATGAGTGCCTTTCATTCAACGGTATGTTGTAGACTTGATCGGAACCCTTGGAAGGTTAGGTGGAAAAACTTGTTTCCAGGCTTTTGAGCCAAAGTTAGTGAAGTTTAAGAAATCTAAAATGTAAACTTTATACACAATAGCATGTATTTATTTAATATTGAATAAACACTAGAGAATGGGTGCTCTGAAATGACTGGCCTCATCACTTAGTTTTCTTTGGTCTCTCTCGTCAGTGAGAGATGGTGTTTTTAGTTCAGCTGCTAGCGTTCTCTCTTTTGTCTCCCTCTCAGTTTGGCCACTCAGGTGTGCCACAGCTGTTTCCGGCGCCAGGCCAAACTGCACCGCTGTGCCCAGTGTAACTTTGCCCATTACTGCGACCGCACTTGCCAGACTGCATGCTGGGATGAACACAAGCAGGAATGTGCAGCCATCAAGAAGATGGGCAAGTGGCCCGGCGAGAATGTTCGGTAAGGAGAGCTGACCTGAAGGAAGCTGCATGGAGAGAGAGTTGTACTGAAGTGACTTCCTACACAGTATTTAGCAATCAACCACCTTACTGCAAGGAAAGAAATCATAGGAGCCAAAGTTCAGATTCCTAAAAAATTATACAGTGTTCATTTACAAAGCTAGCTTGCCGTGACAAAATAATTGAATTTATTTGCCCAACGTTTGGTACACAAGAACTTTTTTGTGTGGTATAGTATAGTGTAGTATATAATAGAATAGTGTGGTATAGTGTCGTATATAATAGAATAGTGTGGTATAGTGTAGTATATAATAGAAT